ATCGTTACAGAACAGAACAAATATTTTACAGATAAAACAGCTTTTTTCCAAAATGAATGTTTGTCACTTAGTTTGGTTACAATAATTGATAAACATAGATCAACTCTCAAATTTATTGATTATTATTATACATAAACATACAATTCGGAACAAAACCAACAACAACAATAGCATGTTTCATTTTATCTATATGAGATAAAAACAATAAATATGTACAATAATTGTGAAAAAGGTATATTTTTATGGTTTTAATATGGCACTATCAACTTTGAAACATTTTATTTAATTTGTTATTCGTGTTTAGTAAAGTTGCCGAGGAATTATTCAAAGTTACAAATTAGATTTTATTAATTATTTAATTGATTGATAATTTAAAAAATGATAAAGAAAAATACAAATGTACATGTACATGGTTTAAGAATAAACAATATTATATATTGAAAGATTAACCATAATTTACTGACTTTTTCCAGTTAAGTTTTGACTTATAATCGTCGGTCAATATGACAATTGAATTCTTAAAATTTATTTTACAATTTTAATTAAAAAAAAAGAGTAGTAAACGTAAAAAACTCAGTATTAAAATAGCACATAAAAACACAAAAAGAGAGGAAAACAATATTAATAAAATCTGTATTTTTGTTATTAAAATAGATATTACAATTATTGTATAATAAACAATAATGCTCAACATGACATGGTAATATAACCAGTGTCATATTTTTACTAAGTGTGAACAGATACCTTAAGAGGGGGTCTTCGCTAATAGCGATTACATAACAAGAGCTGTCCGTAAGACAGCGCGCTCGACTTTTTTATTGCTTGCCAATAAAAAAAGTTTTTGCAGTAAAAGGCAATACAAGAATCTCTGTATTTTTAAAGTGAACTAGTTGTTTGATACCCTTGAATATTACAGCAATGTTTATATGACATAATTTATGGTAAAGTGAACAAGTGGATAGGAATGAATTTTTTTAGATTTTTTAAGTTTTTTAGTGCTTGCCTATAATACAAAACATTGACAGTTAAGGGCCATAATTCAAATAAAATCTTTGACAGAATTACCTTCTCCTGGACATGTTTTGGGAATCATGATTGTAAACAAGTATTCCAACTTTCAAATTAATATCTCAAACAGTTCAGTCAAAAAGTGGACTGGTACTAAAAACTTAACCAAGATTCTAAGTCGATAAAAGGCCTTAATTTTTTAAAACAAATCCTTGACAGAGTTACCTTCTCTTGCGTACAGATGGGGGTAATGATGTGAAATAGCATTAAAAGTTTCAAAGCAATATCTCAAAGGGTTAAGGCAATAAGTGGATTTTACCCATATTCAATGTATTTTCTAAGTCAAAAAGGGGCATAATTCTGTCAAAAACCTTGACAGAGTTATGTCCTCTTGTCTGTTGATGAAGGTCGTGATGGTAAACAAGTATGGTCAGTTTCAAAGCAATACCTCCAATGGTTTTGAAATAAAGTGAGGTGGTACAAAAAACTTAACCAAGCTCAATACACTTTCTAAGTCAAAAAAGGGCCATAATTCTGTCAAAAACCTTGACAGAGTTATGTACTCTTGTCTGTAGATGGAGGTTATGATGGTGAACAAGTATGGTAAGTTTCAAAGCCATACTTGTAATACTTCTGAAATAAAGTGGGGTGGTACGAAAAACTTAACCAAGGTGTGACGCCAACGCCGACGCCGACGCCGACGCCGACGCCGGGGCGAGTAGGATAGCTCCCCTTTTCATAGAAAAGTCGAGCTAATAAGGGACAATTCCACAAGTGTGGTGTTGATCATGCGTTACACATATGGATTATAAATGATTGTATACATGTATATCCGTTGCTATAGCCAGCCCGCATAGCTCAATCGGTTAGAGCGCGAGACTTGTAATCTCGACATTGTGGGTTCGATTCCCGGGCTGGCCAACTAAAATTACTAATCAGTCTTTCGGATGAGACTTTAAATCGAGGTCCCGTGTATGGGTGCTTAAACACTTGGCACACGAAAGAACCAGGAGAAGCTTCTGGAATTGGGGCATCTTTCTGTATCTGTAATTGCACTATCCTCCAAAAATCTAAAATGACTAATACTCTTCTGGGGGACTCGCCCATATGGGCAACCGGTGGCGAGTATAAATAAACGCAAATACACACAAATATCCGTTGCTATTAATAATCACGATCATAAAGAAATAACAAGTAATATTCTAATCAGTCTAGCTTGCCAATCAAAGTTCATAATGAACAATGTCTTTCGTCCGTTCATTCTGGTAAAAACCAATTAACCATTGAAAAGTTTATAAGAATATCTTGACATCATATGTCTACTAGTTCATCTTCACTTTCTGCATTTCTTGCTTGGACGCCCTTTGATGCTTTGCATCAATGCTTTTCTTGTAAATTGGTTATTTCCCTTTTTAGTAGTACATGCAATTATAATTTGTAACCTTTTGAAATACATTTACACACAGCATATCAAGTTTACTATTAGTGATTGAATTTGTCAATATAAAGAAGATTTCAGACAAAAGATTTTAACAATTTTGCTTTTGATAATCATTTTTAATTTATATTTATGAAATTAAATGTTTAATAATAACATGTTGATATATTGGTTGTTTTGAAATAATTAAACTTCAGTATATAATGTTACATTTCATTAACGTCACTGGTACAGCATACCACTTTGTGATAATGGTATGACTGGTGACATGTTCGAGGGTCCGTACTCGACGGCGAAAGCTGCATTTTATAGCTTTACTAGCGGATGGACCCTCATTAAGGTGATTCCGCATTGTCAGCCAAGTTTGTTTTCATAAAGTCTGTGCAAAGTGAAAGTAGGACAATAAAGCTCACATTGTTATATGATGAGCCATTTGCAAGTACACTTCCAATTCTATGATTTAAAGACTATTTTAAATAAAAATGATAATAATAAGAAATTTACCTTGAATGGGCTACATTTCTGAAGACCAAAAACATTCTGTTGCAAATCTTTATGCACATTTCATGAATGGCAAAATCCATTTTAAAGTCTATTTTAGTGCAAACAAATGCTATTTTTTGCAGAAAATACAAAAAACTTTAAAAACATAAAAAGTAGTTTATCTGACTTTGAAAAAACATGGCCTCCTTGACATGTGTAAAAAAGTAGTACCATGAAAATAAACATCATTTACCTATTTCTTGTGTACATGACAAACAGACACACTTCACTGTTACACATAAAAAGGTTAGATTTTAAAGTTTGATCGTGTTTTCATTTTAATTGTAGTTCATAAGGCTATAAATGACGATTGTTTTCTTGCACTACTTTTTTTACAAAAAATAATGGAGGCCATGTGCTTAGAAGGACATGACATACTGATTTATTTGGAGTTAAGTTTTGAAAGATTTTTGTATTTGCTGCAAAAAAATAGCTTTTGTTGGCACTAAAACAGACTTTTAAAAGGATTTTGCCATTCATGAAATGTGCATAAAACTTTGCAACAGAATGTTTTTGGTCTTCAGAAATGTAGCACATTCAAGGTAAATTTTCTTATTGTTATCATTTTTATTTTTGTTTATATTTGTCCTTAAAATATAAACCTGGAAGTGTATTTTCAAATTGTTCATCATTTTACAATAAGAGCTTTGTTGTTATATGAAGTTTGGCCTACTTTCACTTTGGACATACTTTAGTTAAAACAAACATGGCTGACAAAGCGGAATCACCTTAAGCATAGGCTATAGATAGATATCATGACAACAACAGAAACTTTGATCTGCTGTCTGAACATGAAGTGTAATGTTTTTTATGAATGGTTTTTAAGCAATTCAACAAAAATATATATTGATCTCCCTAAAAATTAATTAACAATAATTTTTTTATACATTACCAATGTCAAATAGCTTTCATATCTTTGTCTCGCACGAATATGATATCAGTGAATTTCCTCATACCTACCTAAAATTCAGGTAACAGTCTTCTATTATATTGATAAATACTGTATCACCATGGAAATTCATCCCATTTTTTCATTCCAGAGTGTGTTCTACTTTCAGTATTGAAAGAAACCATTTTTTTTAAAATTTGACATGAACAAATATGCATGTAATATTACTATATTATAATATTAGTCCCTTTTGTTACTATTTGTATATTTGTTACAATTATTACAGACTTTGATATTTCTATCATCTATCTTCTGTTACTGAAACAGAACACAGTACAGTCATGTCACATAACATTTACAAGTCTTGTAAGTCTTGTTTGTATTCAATGGAATTACTTTCCTTACCAGGTAGGCATCAGTGAAAGCATTTTTTATATTAAATATTTTTCCCCTCTTTTTAATTATGGACAGTGCATAAGATAAGTATAATTATGCAAAACATAGTTTACATAACATTCGGAAAAAATCTACAATAGTACTTAATCTGAATATAACATGACCTGTACGTAGGAATAATTTGGTAAGGTATCTGTAATGTGCACATTTTTTTGCGCGGAGCTTCTCAATTGCTGCATTGCAGCAACATTTGTACTTGTTTTATTCTGTGATTATGCTTCAAAGCAGTCAATTGACCGCTCATTTTTGCATTTCCTTTTCATATATGATTTCCTTGAAATCATTTTTCTCATCTGAAGGCATGCAACTTTAATATGATGATACATTAATTACATTCCATGAAAATGTTTAAAGATATAAAATATCTCATGACATGTTTGTTCATTTTACATTACACCTTTAATGCAGCAAACATAAACAGTCTTCACAAAAAGTGGTATGCAATCGTACCTATATTACATACTAATGTTTGTAATATTTTTCTTGTTTAACAATATTTCTCCAACGAAAAACAGTGTTTGGGGCCTAAATAGGGCATTTCTTCACTGTTTGAGGCCTCAAAAGGGGGGGGGGGCGTCGAAACACGCTTATATCACGCGTATGTAAAATATGGTAGATTACGGTGTATGGTGGTAGTTTGGTAGTTAACTTAAAATGTGTATTGATTATCAATCGTGTTTGTGCACAGTCTGTATTAAGTTATGACTGGATACTGTATTAAGTTATGACTGGATACTATATGAAAATAAACTTTTAAGCACATATCTATTATAATCTAGTTATAGAACAGTAAGTAAACTGTTTAAGATTTTTTCTTTAATTCTGTACGGCCTATCTGTTATGTACTTGTATTTGTTTAATTTTACTCAATAGTATGTAAAAAGTTTGGTTATGGATGTATATAGCTGGTAGAAATTCTTTAAGATAAACATTTCTTAACCTGAATGCAAAACGAATCTGAAAACGTTTCAACAAAAGAAAGTTTCATTTTTTGTTCCAATCTTATTTTTCTTGTTCTTCAGATATTTCGTGATGTATGTGATACGATGGTTCCTTCTCAAAAGTTGTATATTTGGAGTGTTCTTTTCAGTCACAGGTAATCATATTAGAAGTCAATATTAATGAAATCACTAACAATCCAGTTTAAGAAAAATATGATATAATCTAGTTGAGCAACATCGATTATTCTACATGATAAGACTGGAAGTTATTGTTGTATATTTCTTTTATTATTTTTAAAATTTTGTTGCATTTTAAATATTTTGAGATGAGTGCTGAGTAATCTACTAGACATTTGACGCTGATTCTGAACAACTATATATACCCGATGCATTCTTCACTTAACCAGGCTGGTGACGCCTAGGTTCTCCTAGCTTTTCTAGTACAGTCCCTCGGGACCTTTTTGTGCAAAAAAGGTTCAGGGATAAATGTTATTTTAATGTAAATCGAAATATTTGAAGTCTTCAAAAATGTTTGGTATACATGTAAAATCATAATAAGTTATGGGAAATCCAAGATGGCTACCAAGATGGCCGCCAAATTATTGAAAAAATGGCTGATAAGTATTTTATCTGATAAAATTATTTATATTAGTATAACTGATGTTAGAACTTTACATCCCATTTGGACAATTTAAGATGGGACCTTTTCAATTATGTATACATATGGTCTGGATTTTGTAGATAAATTTTGCAAAAAAGCACTTTAAAAAATCAAAAATCGAAATGGGGCTGACATTTTTGACTATCAGTCCAGGCATAGCGGATAACATGAATATTTTTATAATATATTACAAAGACTTTAACAACATTTTACTAACTGTACCCTTATTTTTATCGTAATTGTGAAGAACGGAGATTCGGATATAATTCTTAAAGTGGGTGGGATAAACGAAAATTAAGTTTCAGTATTTTGTGAACTGGTATATTATAATAATTGAAACTATGAATAGTCAACATGTAGCTGTATTGCACTTTGGAATGTATCTTAATTAAAAAAAATATTTAAGAAAGCAAGATTTGATATTTTGTGCATCAATATTAAACATGTTATTTTGCCATAGCAACGAAGTAGTAAAATGAAAGACACGTAAAATTAAACACACCTGTAACGTATGACACTTTCAACTTTTAGCTTTTAGGCATGTTTATTTAAGACATGATTACTATACCATAAACAAAATTTAGATAAATTATCTGGGCACATTAAGTAAGTTATGATGTTATGGTAAAAAAAGGTGTTAAAAGGAGTAAATTTTAATTCTAGAAATTATAAACACAAATTACACCCCGATTTTTTTAAAATTTAAATTTTAATTTAAATTTGTTGCTAATGCTTTTGGTAGAAATAGTTTTAAACTCATTTTTATTTTTTCAAACTGCTAAACAGGTAATGTCTTATGGGTATGCTGTTACTATTGAAAAAGATAATTAACGGTGATAATGATAAATAAAAAGCAGGCACACGGTATAATGTATCAAATTTCAAAGCTGCCTCTGAAACTGTGCATAGGATAAAAAATAAGATTGTAGATAAAGAAGAAAAGTAGGTCATAGGTACAAAATTAAGGTCAACTAATATCAAATTTTAATGACAATCAACTTTATTATTGAGTTCAAACATTTTGGTTGAAGCTTCTCACCTCTAGTAGATGAAAATACAGATACACCTAGCTCTATAAATCCCAAAAATCCAAAACAAAAACAAATTGATTATGTATCCAAACTGAAAATTCTATGCATAAACTGCCAGTCAATAGTCAACAAAAAACATGAATTTCAAAATTTATTAATAGATCAAAACCCAGATATTGTTACAGCCACAGAGTCATGGCTAAATAAAGAACACTATAACAGTGAAATTTTCCCACCTGAACTCGGCTACACAGTTTTTCGCCGTGACAGACTCAAAGGTAAGGGCGGTGGAGTGCTTATCCTTGTTAAAAACAACCTCCTACCAAGTGAACAACCAAAACTGAACACCGATTGTGAAATAATATGGATAAAAATAGAAATCAAAGGTAGTAAGTCACTCTTTCTGGCATCTTATTACAAACCACACGAACTTGATATGAATAGTATTTTAGAATTTGAAAAATCCCTTGAACTTGTGCGTAACTTAAAAGGTACAAAGTTAATCCTTGGCGATTTTAACCTCCCAAAATTAAATTGGGACTCTGAACATACACCATATCTTAAAGAAGGCTTAAACACAAGTCCTGTGTATGATAAATTCCTGAACATCATTGATGATCATAACCTCGTACAAATGGTCAATGAAAGTACACGAAATGACAATATTCTTGATCTATTGCTCATTTCAAACCACACTCTTGTTAACAATGTCAAGGTCATACCTGGCATATCAGATCATGACATCATATCCACAGAAATATCTTCTAGGCCTACCCTCCTCAAACAAAAACCTCGTACTTGCACCTTGTATAAAAAGGCAAATTGGACTGAGTTGAAAACCTTCATTAAAACCTCAACATCTGAAATACTTCAAAAAGCTGAATCTTTGTCTGTTGAAGAACTTTGGTCGCAGTTCAAACACACACTTGAGGATGGCATATCAAAAATTCATACCCACTAAAAGAATTACAGCTAAACCATCTTTGCCCTGGATAACAAAAATCCATTAAAAAATTAATTCATAAAAGAGATCAGCTCTATAAAAATATTAAAAAACCAAAAACAAATAAAAAAAAATCTGATCATGATCAATGGCTAAAATTTAAAAATTTGAAATCGCAAATAAAAGCTAGAATTAAACAATCATATGAATCTTACTTAGAAAACATCCTGAACCTTGCAGATGATGATGATGAAACTAATACACAAAGTAAAGTTTGTACCAAAAAACTATACTCACTTATAAAAAACTCTAAACAAGATTCACAAAGTGTGTCTCCATTAAAAGATCAAAAGTCAGGTTCTCTCAAAATTAATAATACTGAAAAAGCAAACATTCTTAACAAACAATTTCAATCAGTTTTCTCACCAATTATACCACTCACACTTAAAGATCAATGTATACAAAAACTGAGACTCATGGATCCCAGAAAGTATTGTCAGTACCCACAAATGAATGACATCATCATCGGTAGGGCAGGTGTACTAAAGCTCCTCGCCAACCTCAATGCCAACAAAGCTGCCGGCCCTGACAACATTAGACCAATTGTCCTGAAGGAGCTGAGAGAAGAGATTGCTGACATCGTTGCAGTTCTTTTCCAAAAATCCCTGACCACCGGTAATATTCCCAATGACTGGACCCGTGCAAACGTATGCCCTGTCTACAAAAAAGGTGATACAAGTGATCCAGCAAACTATCGCCCAATTTCCCTTACATGCATCCTCTGTAAAACACTCGAACATATAGTTGCCTCTCAACTATCCTCTCACTTTACCATCCACAACATACTCTTTGATCTTCAGCATGGATTCAGAGAAAGACGATCATGTGAGACACAACTCATTGAACTTACTGATTACCTTGTGAACAACCTTTCAAATGGCAAACAAACAGATTTCATACTTCTTGACTTCTCCAAAGCTTTCGATAAAGTAAACCATCTTAAACTCTTAGATACCCTGCAAGAACATGGTGTTTGTCCTCAAATTCTAAACTGGATACAGTCATTCCTTATTGGCCGTAGACAGACAGTAGTTGTGGATAGTGACTGCTCATCTGAAGTCCCAGTTACCTCTGGAGTGCCCCAAGGCTCGGTCCTAGGGCCCCTCTGTTTCCTTCTATATATCAACAAGTTACCATCTTCTGTCCTCAAATCCCAAGTCAGATTATTTGCAGACGACACTGCTGTATACCTAACCATCAATTCCTCCTCAGACCCCCCAACTCTCCAACATGATCTAGACAATATGGTTCTGTGGGAGAAGCAGTGGGACATGGAGTTTAACCCTTCAAAATGCCAAGTCATCCATATCACCAAAAATAAGACCAAAATTAAACACAAATATATGCTCCATGGCCAAATCCTAGAGTCTGTTACAAATGCTAAATATCTCGGACTAGATCTATCTGCTGACCTTAAATTTAATACACATATATCTCGAATAACTTCCAATGCAAACAGATCCCTTGGCTTTATTAAAAGAAATGTCATCACTAAAAATGAGAAAGTAAAAGAACTAGCATACAAGTCCCTGGTCCGCCCACAGGTTGAATATGCCTCATCTATTTGGTCTCCTTATACTAAAACCAATATTGACAAAGTTGAGATGATCCAGAGACGTGCAATAAGATGGGTTAAAAGGGATTACTCCCCTCACTCTAGTGTCACAGCCATGCAGGAAGAACTGGGCTGGCAATCCCTTGAACATCGCAGACCGGACTGTAGACTGATAATGTTTTATAAGATATACCATAACCTAGTTGCAATTAATCTCCCAACTTATGTTCAAACCCCACATAGATTAACCAGACATATGCATCCCTTATCCCTACGTCAAATACAGGTATCCTCCGACTACCATAAGTACTCTTTCTTCCCTCATAGCATTATACTATGGAATAAACTTCCTAGAAACATTGCCACCCTGCCCAACCTGAGTCAGTTCAAACAGGCAGTGGTGGGTTTTGCAGTACTAGTCTTACTCCCAGTGTTTTTAAACTATTTTATCTCTTATCATCTTGTTTCGCTATTAACATTTTAACCATGACTAGAATACATTCTCAGTCTCACCTTCCAAGCATGTCAATGTTTGGACTTTTCTTTTTAGCTTTTCTCTTCACCTTTTACTAACAATCCGACGTGCACTAAATTCCTGCCTTTAACACTCGTAAGAGGGGTTGGCAGTATCCAGAGATAGATAGATAGATAGATAGCTTGAATCATATAATTACGAAAAGTAAGTCACTATGTAAAATTCTGGGTAAACTGATCTTAAAGTTTATTCTGCATCTGAAATTGTACACAGTCATATTCAAAATACAAAAAGGTCACTAGTAAAAAATACAGGTCAGCTGGTATCGAAATGCCATGGTATGTCACATTGTGTGTGTTATCCAAATTTCTGTAGCTCCAAAAACAAGAAAGTAAGTCACTAGGTCTTAAAATCTAGGTCACCTTATACCAATTGGGCCATGATTTTGAACAATAAAAGAATAACATACATGTATGACGATAATTTTTCCAACCAAAACTTTTTTTGCATTATTGTTTCAGACAAATATTTTTTTTAATTCGACATCCAGGCATCCAGGCATTGGCATCTTTTTCCAGATTCATGGTCATTATTTGACCGATCCTTTAGCGTCAATATGTGTCGGACATTGAGGTTTATCTTGCTGTGTCACAGATTGGTCCGTTTTAGTGATCTGATGAATAGCTGCCGCAATTTGAAAGCAAAGTGTCCAAGTGTATATTAAGTGTGAGTGTTTATATGAAACCTATCACTTATTGCGCCTTCGAAGGAAATGGTCATAATAAATAAAAAGTGCGCAATATAATTTGCCTTCTTTAAACGATTTTTATTCCGTTTGTAAAAAAATGTTAAAGTAAACTTTAAACCGATATTTAAATTGTAAGTGAAATTGTGTACCTTCAAGTGATTAATTCAAGTGAGCTTATTTACAGAACCGTTAGGTAAAATGTATACTTCCATCTTACTCAAAAATAGTAAACAATCTTTAAAGTGAGATGTCAATTTTAAGTCACTGAATATGATCAACTTTTTGTCAAGTATAGTATTGTTTTATGATTCAGTGTTGACAGAATACCAATAAATGATGTTCATATTGTATTTTATTTAACATAATTATTTTTTTCTAATATACGAGTACTGCTTGAGAATCTGTTTCAATTTTATGCATACTTATGAGATTCATTAAAAAATATGCAACAGAAAGGGTTTAGAATGTTTAAGATGGCATATTACTGCCACCAGATAATAGCTTAATTTAGCCTGATTATTATGTGGAAAACTAGTTTAGTAAGTAGTATATCACCCAGTTGCATATTTCATTGAATTGTGATATATTTTAAAACAAACTAAAACAACAGAGTAAAAACCTATCTTTCTTGGAATGATATCTTGAAACCATATCGCGTCACTTTTAACAGATAAACTGCATTTATATTTCATTTATGCACTATTTTTTTTTTCAGAGGCAAGTGTTTTGCTACACACATTTGATGTAGAGACGACTTATTTCAAAGGCTCTTACGTTACGCTCGTTTGCATAATTACTCCCTATAATAATGAGATGACTTGGTACGTGGACAATGAACTCTACGCTGGCTGTTTTTTAGGGAACTGTGGTTCTTCTTTAAACAAACCATATACATTTGATTTCACTTTTGATGAAACTGCAGAGGTTTTCAAACTCACTATAGATTCTGTGGATTCTTCTCATGCTGAACTTTTATTTGCTTGCGACGATGGAAATGTGAGAAAAACAATTTCTTTCAATGTGACAACAGGTATTCTTCTTTTATTAATGGATAAAAAATAAATAAATTTCTTGCATTTATTCGTAAAAGGAAATTGTGTATAACCTAGGAACACCTTTAAAGGATACATGTAGGCTGAATAAAAAAGCGTTTTGCTAACAGTTAAAGCTCCTAAATGTGTGTATATTTTCTCACCATAATGCATGTAATGTGTCAGGAACATACACATATTATTATTATTTGATCAAATAATAAAATAGCATGATTGTCTATTTATTTAAAGGGCTATTTCTAATCTTTGCTATATTTCTGAAGTGACTTTATCGTATCTAATACACGATGAGGTACATGAGGTCCTCCTCCACCAGTTAAGCTTTAAAGTCTCCATATGACCTTTGAAAGTGTAGGGGTGATTGAAATTTCAACAAAACTAAACTCAAATATATTGTTTAAGCAAAAATTTAAATTTCTATTACATAAATATCCAACTTGATTGAGGTTGTACTTAAACTAAAATAAGTTTAAACACGTGTTTAATGGCTGACCTTGAAATTTTTATTGCATTATATTATAGCATGGTATTGGTAAAGAAATGATCACTTTCTAGTCGCAAATAAGGTTTTGAAAAGAATCATTATCTAGAGTATACCCACTAAATTTGTTAAGATTTAGCACCATGGTCAAAATTGGCCCCGTCCAAGGGGTTCATTGATTTTCCTTATAAATAAACATATTGCAAAATATAGATTTTAATGCAAAACTTTCATTATTGTCAAAGAAAAAGACTGAGCAGGTGTCTTTAGCATTCGTACTGTTAGCCCATGCTAGCCCAACTTCTATCAATCACTACAAACATAATCAAAATTAAATTCAATGACATTAATAATGACTTATATCTTGAGTACACTTGCAATTAGTAATCAGTCAAATATGCTTTTCCTGTAAGGTTATTTACCAGTAACATAACATGTTTGTTAAATCCATACATATGCATGATTTTCTCATTTTTTATAGATGCCTAAGTAGGTATTTCAGTAATTTTCATTTAATTTAACATCTGGTTTAGCAAAAGTCAAACTTTTTATTCAGTGCTGGAGCCATGCATTTAACAATTTCCTTATTAACAGATATTTGACAATAACTGTATATTGAATATAAGTTAAGCATAACCTATGGAAATATGAACATTCCAACTGATTGCTGTTTTACATTGAATCTTAAGTTGAATATCAATATAACCAATGAAATTATATATTTTACATTTTCCCCTTATAATCCTATGTTAATGATTATATGTTATTCAGTAAAACAGTAAAACAAATTTAAAAGGTATGAATGGTTAGTATGGTGAAGATAGAACAAACATAGCATCACATATCTCATGCCTAGCTCAGGTATCTAAATTCCATAAAGATTCGTATTGAATCTTAAAAAGAATAATTGATGAGTATTTTTGAGAAGAGCTCCTTACATTAAATTGAGATATTCATAAATTTATTATAGGGTGTTACACAGCTTTTACATTCCTATTGAGAACATCCTAAAGAAGCTCAACCTTTAAGTGAATCCTTACAGTTAATGTCAAATGTCAAATACAGACAACTTAATCCATTTATTTTTAATCGCGAGAATAAATTCTCTTTCAACTTAATAATCAATTACATAGAATCATACTTACAAGTGTTGTACTCCGTAACAAAAAGTTAGAATAAACAAACAAAAAACAGTTTTCGACCAATAATAAAAGCCCCCACCGACGTGATGAGCCTTCGTAAACAATATAGGAATTTTTTGATGCAAGATTATGGATTCTGTGACACATTATATACAGATGTCGCTTCTTTTTTTAAATGACGCAAAAAGATACTTGATTAAAATTATCATCAGCAAGATATATTGCAAACTCATTGAAGAACAGAAACTGACGGCAAAAAAACAATAGGTCATTCTAAAATAGCATACATTTTTTATTATACCCAAAACAGTTCATGTACGAAACTCTATTTTTATTCAAACTGTTTCGAAATCAAACAGATACAAAAAATAACTGCAAAACAACTTAGTAAATTTTAATCTAACACATATTAATGAACAATGCTAACGGTGGCACAGAGGTGACATGTGTCTGTGTTTTTATTTATCTCACGCGCACGAGTTACTAAGTCGTACACACGACATAATTAAGTTGAGTGTGAAATAAGTATACTCTGTCGTGCACATGGGTTACTAAGTCGTTCGCCACAACCATAATAATTTAGTCGTGCGCCACGGATACATAATGTTTGAGCGAACGAGTTATTTAGATACTTCCCAGCTGCATATTTTTTCAGGGGCCGTTAGAAGGTACGTACTGAATAACCCTATCACAGGATGGGAACCTATTTTTTAGGGAGAAAAAAAGGGCTATAACTCAGTCAAAAAATAATGTCTAATTTTGTGACTAGTTGCAAAAAAAAAAAAAACAATGTTGTATTGTATTAGTTTTTAAACAAGGAATTAAATTAAGACTTAAAAAAATTCATAGCATAAATTTTTTATCTCTTTCGCCACCTCATAGTTTCACTCGGTGAGAAGAAAAATAAATTATCTCGTTGTGCCCACGACTTAGTAGCTCGTGTGCACCACATTAGTACCTATTGCGCACGAGATAAATTAAACACACACCTTTTTGCCACCGTAAAAATGACATAAATTATGTGTTAGTACTTCAAAAATAACGCAAGTGAGAGTTGGAGTTAAAGACAACTTCAAGTAAAGCAATATACTCAATCTAAGTGCAATGGCATTGAATAATTGGTTTCTGGTGAAGCGCAAACTACAGGTATGCCCTTGTTCCAGTCTCATTATTAACCTTATTCTGTAGTTGCACGAACCAAGTTTTAAAGTTAAACTATTTGTTTAAATACTCTAATGAGTACAGCAGATTTTGTAAAAATATGTATTGTTCCTTTTGTTTTATGGTTGCACCTCCTACAAATTGTTATGAAACTTTACGAATTAAAAGATCATGACCCTTGGTGATCATTTTCAGAGAGCTTGAGATCCCTGAATGTAATAATTGAATCAGTTGCTGGATTGCCATGGTTTAAAGTTGGATGAGTGTCTATAAAATCTTTTTATTTTCCTTTCTTTATTTTTCTAAAAGGCTAACGTTTTTCAAGTATATATGGTGAAAGAATTCTATCAGTATGTTTCGGTTTTTTTCAGAATATTTACATTTGAATTATGCAGATGTATAGTCTTTATTGAAAATTGACCATAAGGGTTAAAATTAGCAGGGTGGTAACTGTTTATTTTTGGTTTTACATGTACACCCGTTATAAGCATTTGTGTGGTGATAAGATTACATTATTCAAAGTTATCGAAATAATTGATAAATGGTAAAGGAAACCCAGCTTTTAGAACAAATTAATTACATATCTGTACAGAATCACGTCATAATGAAGTGATAGAAGCATTATTTCGTTTCAGGTAAAGGACAAACCGTAATTCTACCCCAATAAACAATCAGACAACAGGTTATCGGAACAAAACTTACAACTGTTCATCTAGCATTTCTTTCAGTGTCAATCCTACTAAAATTCAACACTTGTCACCCCTGTGTCGAAAAACAGACAAGCAATCAATTGCCTCTTATTTTGTACTGTTTTATTGCTTTGGCTGTTGATGTTTTATATTTTCTATTGGTTATGCTGTTTTATTGATTTTCCTTCCTTATAAAATCAAAAGAATGTGGGAAATCGTGAATCGTCATTTTATTCTGTCCAGGATAAAATGAAATGTATAAAGTCAACAGATAAACCGTCAAGTATGTCTTTAAAGGGATATAAACTTCATTCACGATATTGGAGAACATATGTTTTTGAAAGGTATTGGGACATGTATAACATAAAACCAAGATAAATATTCCATTAATATCATTTTAATAATAGTGTTATGTTGTTGTTGCTGCTGTTGTTGTTGATGTTATTTGTTTTGTTTTATTTTTACCCGAGTACTTTCAATTGCATATAAATTTGATAGATTTCACCCAGACGTGTATATAACAATGATTAATTTCGAAGGTATCATATTTTAAATCTGTTTATTTCCGAACCCAAAAATTATATACAATTTTGACCAATTCTGCTCAGTATAGTATACGACGACTCTGATTATTTTCGCCCGGTAACATTATAAACGACTTTTATTCAATTCCATTCAGAATAATAACATTAGTGTATATACTTTGACCGTTTCCATGCAAAATAAATTTATTTTAACAAAAAATCATATAAAAAAATTTTAATTTATTTTACCCTGAACAATATGCCCACTGTTTATCTAACTCCGCTCAAATAAGTTTATTATTTCATTGATCTATTGTCAATATATTTTATACTCATTAACATAGCCAATAATAGAAGCATCAGTTGGATGCACTTTATAGAATATTGAATCTTTCTGATTCAATTATTAAGTTCTTGACAATAGTCGAACCGCATCCGGGGTTTTCTATTTTATCCCCTTTAAAAATTAAAGGGAAAAAAGGGGTTTTTCAAACTGAGTGCATTGTTGTGAATAATGCTTTTTGAGTTTAAAAGCGTTAATTTAATTATAATCACTTAAAGGGTCCGGGAAGTGCCTCATTATTAATGTCCCAAAACATTTGAAAGAAAAAAAACGTGCCCTTTTTTTATACAATTAAATGCCCGGGAAAAATTAATATCTATTTTCCCTTCTTAAAACGTCAAGAAAAAATTTTAATTTTTTAATTTATAAAATTGGGCCTTTTAAGTTTTGGGGTATAAATTTTTTTTTCGCACTAAAGGGTTTTCAAATTTAAAAAAATTCTTTTAAAGGGGGGCCCTTTTTTCCCGGTTTTTAAAAAAACTGTCGGGGTTTAAAACTAAACCGGGGTTGAAAAACATTTAAATAAAAAAATTTTGGGGAAAACCGCTGATAAAACCCCTTTTTGTTTTATCTTTTAAATTTCCCCGTCTTAATTTTTCAAGCCCCAAAAACCCAAAAATTAAAATTTAAAAAATGAAAATAAATATATTTAAATTAAAATCGTTTACGAACATTTATAATAGCTTTCCCTTTATTTTTAAATTTTTTGCACGTGCTTTTTTGGCGGCCCCACATTGGGGACGTCCCCTTAAAAAACTTTAAACTTTACAGGGGTTAACGACCTGAATTAAAAATATTTGGTGTTCGAAAAATTTTTAAAATTTTCCTTTGTTTGACCAAAATTTTTTTCCAAAAATTCTAGAAGTTTTTCCAAAAAACAAAAATTTTTAAAAAAAAGTATTTTTATTTTCCTATTTTTCAAAC